AAACAAACGAAATAAATTGAAATTGTGGAGTCGATAGCGAAGTGGGCAATGTAAAGTTATTTATAAAATATCACACACAAAGACACATGCATGCAAATTAGAAATACACATAAATTAACAAAAAAATGATGTCGGAGCAAAGTTTAACGCATACATGAAAAATAAGCAAGGAAATATTAAATATGTAAAAATAAGAATTTTAGAAAAATGTATTGAAAATGATTGTTTTATTTAAAATTGGATGGCTTAGTGCAGAATTGCTCCAACGGGGATTGGGTGTAGTTAGAGGCAAAAAAAAATTTGAATTTTTTTAAAGGAAGTTATTTTATTTTGTAAAAGTAAAAACATAGCATCATTAAATAAGGTATCGAATTGCCTTGACTGAAATTAAAAAAAAAAAATATTTTAAAAGTAATGGCTGTTTGTGTTGATCCTGCTGCAATCGAAGCTGTGACAAATGGAACGGAATTAACGAAAACATGCCCGTAAATTGGAATTTGGGTGTCCTCTACCCAATCCACAAAAAGGGAAACCCCACAACCTGCTCCAACTACCATCTAATAAGATTCTTTAACATCACATATGTACAGGGTGGCTGATGAATTTTGCTACATTAAGAAACTCAAATAATTTTTTTTCAGTGTATGGAATTCATTTTTCTTTTATTCATGTTAAAGCACATTCAATTTTATTAAATATAGCTTAATTAGTTTTAAAAATAATGGAATTTAAACGCCCCCCCCCAGCTCGTTGATGCATGTGCGGCATCTTACCAAAAAGTTGTTCATTACTGCTTGGAGAGTTGAGACAGGTTCCCCACACCATCATTCCATAATATTTCTTAAGACGCTGCTTATATTTGACAAGTAAGGAAATGCGAAAATTCCATAGGATCAAAGCCTAGGAAGTACGTTATGCTGATAAAACTTTATATTAAATAAGTAAGGCATGGCTTAGGTGTACATAAACAAAGCCTTGGGTATACTTTTAGGTGTTGGCACTTCTGTAGCATATAACTTTCATACTAACTGAACGATCGGAGTCAAGCGCTTGCATAAAAATTCCTGAAATTTGTCGAGATATCTTCATGAAATTCAGCAAGGGTTCTTGTTTAAGGCAATAATGTGATCTCTGAAGAAATTGTTCGGATTAATGTAGCATTTAGCAACTGTACAAACTGTACAGTCCGCATCAAGTTCTTGTAAGGAATTTTTTGTATCTGTAAAGGGTCTAGGACTTCGGTGCAACCGAAGGTACTGCACATTTATTAATCGAAGGACCGTAATCCTGCGTCTTCAGACTGCTCTGCAGTCTATCAGGACGATTTCCGGGTAGTTTTCACAAGAGGCTCGCTCCATGTTAAATAAGTGCTTCTTGTGTTTATAATGGTCGGTGTTGGTTTAACTTTAAACTTACTAGCGAAGTTAACCCTTAACGTAATCCTATCCCTTTGGAGAAGAGCCGTTGGTATTTCATCCTTTCTGCTGTCATTTAAAGCAATGTATGTTTGGCTGCTTGATTGATTACTAGGTGAAGCGGTGAGTTTCAGCATGACTTCAAATGTTGCTGTCGTTCGAGTACGCATTGCACCCAACACGAATATCTAACAAACATCTACCTGATAATCAGTCCGAAGATTTCCCGGAAAGTGGATTTCACTCCATGAGCTCTATTGTAGCAGTTCAATTGTAGAATTCGTGTTAATCACGGGTGATCCTGGGAGTTCTTCACTGTATAAAATCTGAGACGACCATAAAGTCCAGACTTCTTTCGACAACGGAGAAAATCTGGTTATATATTTTAAGGTAAGAGTAAATGAAAATAACTTAGCAWAATTTTTATTGTCCTTTATTTAAAAGCAAGTATTACAAATGTGGGTGAATAAAAAAAATACAAGTCATAAAATTGATGCTGATGTATAGATGACACATTATATTCAGTCAACATCAATAAAATATTACTAGCAATTTAAAATATAAAGATAAATAGAATTTCATGGAAAAATACATATGAACACGCTAAGAAATACATAATGAAAACTGAACTTACATWTTTAAATACAAATAYCTATTAYATGTCTCGTATATAAGAACTTTTGWTAAAATATATCCACTCATTACTTCCAATACATTTCCAAATACTTAAGCTAATTTTGTCAAAAAAGTSAACATATTTTGAAATTTATAAATTGTCTTAACTAATAATCGGTACCCTTGATTTATCGAATGCTTTGACGAAAAACGCTTTGCTTAGCTTTGCTTGCTGCCTTACTCGCTTTTTTCGCGGTATGTGGATCTGGGGCAAAACAATTCCACAAACGCAATGTTTCATCTGCACCTGCGCTTATTACTGTACTGCCGTCAGGTGACATGGCCATTTGCAAAACTCTCGAAGTGTGCCCAGTTAATTCCGCTTGTTTTATCATTGATGGATACTTCCAAATCGTCAGCTGATTGTGTGCGAAACCGTGCGCAGAAATCAACTCCTTGTAATTTCGAGACCATAAAAGTGCACATACTTGMGATTTAGTATCGACCGAATTAACTAAAGAACCATTGTTTACATTCCAGAATTTTATACAGCGATCCGCGGTACCACCACCACTAGCTAAGAGGTTTGGCTGCCAGGGGCACCAGGCTAGTGCTCGTACCGCTGCTTGATGTTCGTTGAGTACGTGCAARGGTTCGGTACCACTACCTGTACCACCACTTACTGCTGCCCATACATTAACCAAATTATCATTGCCACCACTAGCMAGATATTTAAAATCAGTTGACCATTTCAGACCACAYACTTCCTGTGTGTGTCCATTTAGGTTAGCTACTTTATGCTCACGCGCCCGTACGTCGTGATGTATGATGGAACCATCCCGACTACCCGATGATACAAGGAATGAATTCCAAGCCAACGAGCCTACTCGAGCCGAGTGCCCATCCATGACACGAAGACGTTTACTTTTATTGCAGTCCCACAATTCTACTACACCAGTATTATTACCAATTGCTAATATTTGTCCGTCTTGTATCCAAGAAAGGGCGCAGGCATGATCCCCTTCCTCGTACTCAACTAATTGATCTATATTTCCTGTTACGGCGTTCCATAAATAAACTGCATTACCCAAAGCTACTGTCACAATATTGTCAGCACTCCAATCCATTAAATTTAAATAATAATCATTTATTATGTCAGGTGCATCTAGTATGCGATCCGATGTGGTTGGTATATAACGTGAGCCGCTCTTAGTCGATAAAGGTGTATTTATTGAATAAACCACTTTCAACGGATTTTGATGAGATTCTGGTGCCGCAGGTGCTTTATTTTGGTAACATAGAATTCGAGTGTTTTTCGTATCACCAACTTGCAAAGAATCCGAAATAAGCTTTTGACGCTCAATCTTCGAAGGAGTCTTTTTGTTAGCATTATTGCTATTGTCATTATCATCGTTTTCCGATTTGTCCTGTTCTTGTTTTATCTATTTGAACATATATACCAAAATAATTTTATCTTCTTAATAAAAAAAATACATGCTTAACTTACCAAATAATGTCCAAGTTCGAAATTGCTAGTTCCACGGTTTGGAATGAAACGATCACCACCACTTGGCGTCTTTGTTCCTTTACTTGGAGTAGGTGTTTTTTTGCACTTTGCATCTCCACTAACTTTCCTTGGGGTTCTTGCGGGTGGATTTACACCAGAAAAACTGGTATTGTAAGACATAGACAGTACGGAACGCGACGCATTTATACTTCCGTTAAGACTGTTAGCCATTGCAGAAGCTTCCAATTTTTTTTGCCAGCGAGGTGCTGGTCCCCGTGTAATTTCCCCGTCCAGTGTCATTGCACTGGTCARTTCATTCAAAAAATTAAATTGAGACATTACGACTAAAAGTGTTTATACTAATATTTACAAATTTGAAATGTAATTTTTATTTAACAGAAATATTTTCCTCTATTAAAATTTTACGAAGTAATGAAAATGGCGGTTGCAGGTAAATTAAATTTTGCGCTAAGAATTGAAATATGAAGGCAAACAATGCTGCCAAAACTTAAAAAAATATGGTTGCCAACAACATACTTGAAGGTTGTAAATATAAACTCGATTATTTGTGCAATCTTTCCTGACCGCAGCTAAAAACTTCGATATGGCATAATACCATGTTCAGACCGAAAATTTAAAAGATTAGATTACATTTAAGCAWTTMATAATCCAACAGTGTTCTCACTGYCGTTAGAAAGATCCAAAAACAGCTGTTATTRTCATTCAAGATTCGCTTCGCTTAATATTTATTAAAAGAAAAGATTGTCATATAGTATTTGAAAAAACAACCGTCACTTTTTAAATATTTTCAATGCAATAGAAATAATGGACGCCCTTTTTCATTTGTTGTGTTTGTGCGATTYAGCGTKGATCAGTTTSAAATCATTTCGATGAAGTGATTTTGAACTGTCATTTTTGTATGGCGAAGTCTTGATAAATTTATAAGATTAGTTCAACAGCTGAAATCGTGTAATTAAGTGTCGGTCTGAACATGGTATAAACATCTTTTTGAAAACATGAAAATCGATTTGTTTTTTATTAATTAACAGTTTGATATTTCCCGAATGTCTGAAAAAAATTTTCCGCAGGTTAATTTTTTGTTGATGAAACGGCATCAATCTGGCATTCGGATACTAATAAAACTATGGATATGATATTTTATGAACTTCGAAAAATGAGTGATGGTCACCGCACAGAGCTTCATCTGGAACTGAATTAACAGTATATAAAATTGTAAAGTTTTGGTTGTCAAGTCAAGCCGAAAACACATGCTTTGACACCATGTTTTTACTTTTATCAAAAATAAAAAATTATGAATGTATTTCGTATTACGTTGTAGGAAACTATTCCTGTTCTACTACTATTTTTTTTCTTGTACTAAAWTTTTGTGTATCAATTTGACATGGCATCCCTTTAGATCAGCTGTTAGTCGCACAGTGTTTTTTTTGCATTGTTATTTAACGTTTAATAGGTAGAAACTTGATTACCGGKTTATTTAGCAATGGGACTGTTTGCAAAAGTTGAAGCCAAAGTAGAAAAGGAACCTTTGGTGGATGCAGCGAAAGAACCAGTGGGTGACGCTGAGCAAACAAATGAAAATGGCAATTCAAATAGCTCCCAAACAAAAGAATGGGGTTATGATTTGTATCCAGAAAGAAAGGGTGAAACATACAAACCAAAGTGGTCGAAGATCCTTTTGGGTATGGAGGGCCGTGAAAATATTGACAAAGTAAAATGTGAACGCAACGTGTACTGGTGCGTAAAAAACAGCCCCTTGGTCAAACTTATGATGGGAGCGCTCCGAAGTTCCGGCTGTCCAATCGATCTTCGACGCCATATATCTTGTGAAGTATGTGATACCTCCGTAACTGGTGGTTATGATCCTGTCATGAATCAAATAGTTGTGTGCCAAAACATGGCTCGCAATGAAGGCATGGTTCAAGGTGTACTTACACATGAAATGATACATATGTTCGATTATTGCAATAATGAGTTGGATTTTCGAAATATCGACCATTTAGCATGCACTGAAATTAGGGCGGCTAATTTGGCGCATTGCTCCTTTCTCAGCGCTATGATGCAAGGTGATGCTTCAATATTTGACATAAAACAGGCGCACCAGGTTTGTTGATAATTCATATATAATAACGATCTTTAACAGACTTTATATGTAATATGAATTTAGAACTGTGTAAAAACAAAGGCGCTGCAATCTGTTTTGGCGGTGCGTAATGTAACAAAACTTGAAGCTATTGAGGCGGTAGAACGTGTATTTCCAAAATGCTATGCAGACCTGGAACCAATCGGTCGGCGTATACGACGGAATTCACCCGATCAACATAGAGCCTACATGGAAGGTCCAATGTATGGYTATGATATTTAGCAGGTATATATAAATTTTGGTATATATACAATTTTAAATTTTGTTAATAGAAATAGCGTAAATTAGCCATGACCTTATTGGCCCATATAAGTGAAATATTCACTTTTTATTTTCAAATAAAAAGTTTATTCATATAATTTACTATATTACACAATTTAATTTAAATGTTTATGTTCTGAACATTCAATTAAATTACCAAATCACTGCAAATACTTTAGCAATTTGAAGCGAGACTATAAATCCGGCAGCAGAGCCGCTTAAATTTTAGTTTAAAAAATAAAATGGAAGATTGTGAATTTTTGCGTATAGTTTTTAGTTTTATAACCGATATGATTTTTCCTAATAGTAAGTAATGGAATGAAGTAAAGATTTATACTTGTATGTATTATATATCATTTTCAATTTTGTAGTTAGGATTTATTTGTGTAAAACAATACCCATATTTATGATTCCTTTATGAAACAGTAATTTTTTTTAAACCAATGGCACATTACAGTATGTCATTTTAAAAATGTTGTGTTATATTTCCATGGAAAAATATTAAAAAATACGGCAGTGACACCAATCACTCAGGGCCGTCTTAGAAAAAAGTTGCATTGCGATTTTGTTGTTGTCCTTGTAACGTTGGAAAATATTCCTGATTTAATTTGAAGCAATGTTGCCGCGTTGGTAGACGTTGACGAAATAAAAATGCGGAYTCGTTCCGGTTACTTAGACTCGRCTGTCGTGGRGACCAAGCTCATAGCTCGGTCCCGAATCATGTGAAATATATAATTTTATCGTTAGGTAATCGCTTTGCTCAGGTAGGGGGTTTTTAGAAAATTAAATTTTGCACCTTTGCGTAAACAATTGTTTAATTTGTTATTGTAAATTGAAAAATGTTAATAAATTAGGAAATTACAGCAGAAATTAGTGTTACAATTTTTAAAACGATAGGCGAAGTTGATTTGAAGTGATAAGTGACAACTTTAAAAAGAAGAGTTGTGCTAAAAACGTTTTAAACAGTGGAATAAAGCTTTTGAACACGTTCAAAAGAATCCAAAATTTGTGAATTTTCATTCAATCCACACAATATTCTTAAATTATACGATAATTCGAAAAAACCCTACTAATCCCCCAAAAATGAAATTGTATTTGTGGAAGCCGAGGTAAAAGCTATTCTTCTCTGTAAATATTAAATTACTTCCATTTAAAAGTTGCAAGATCATTAAAAATAATGGACGAACTCTTTGCAGTAGGGTACAAAACTGATGCTATGATTTAGTTTAGATTGGTAATCTGCAATGAGTGGCAGCAATGTTTTTTGATTTTTTGCAAATTATATTTGATTTTATATCAGGATAGTTTTCTTTCGGTAAGCTGTACATTTTACGTTTTAGAAGTTAATARAATTTATAATTTGCATTGTGTTTTTTTTTTAAGGTGGTGGTGACGATGATGACGATTCTGAGGAATCCTAAATKTTTTTATTTTTTATATTTCAAAAAGATGGTGTAGATACATATATTTTTATGTAAAGGTATTTAGTTTTAAATGAAATATAATCGTAAATAATTATAAATATATGTATGTAAGTGTATATGCTCTGTGACGACTCATCCGAATAATTACGGTTATTAGAATAAAATAATTACATGGCTCATTGAATGTATCTCACTGAAACGTACACTTATTCTGCGACACATGATCACTTAGTAATAGTTAGTTATCCAGTGCTTATAGCTTGCCAACGCATAAAATCTACATTTATTTATATTAGACATGTTTTTTGATCTGTTAGGTGGCCTCTTTGACTTCATAGTGGGTTTATTTTTTCCAAGTATTAAAAGAACTTTAAACATTTTTTCGACGTAAAATTTATATTTAAATTTTCTTCATTTGAATACTTAGGCTCTGACGATGAACCGGACTCAGATGAAGTAGAGACGGTCGACGTAACAACGGCAGCTGATGCTGAAGTTTTAACCTGAACTAGCCATGTACATACACATATATATAAGTAAATTGCAGTTTTAATTCTTTAAAACACAATACAAAAGTTCTTGTTAAATATTATTGTATTAATTTTTAATAATTAATACAATTTAATAATTGAATAATACAATGTTTTTGTTTAAAACTTTAAAAATAAAGGGATGTGACTGATAACTCCAGTATCTACTGAAATTATGTGCACAGACCTATTTGTGGTTTTTGAATGAAGTTGACGTTTTAGTGCACAAAATCAGCAACTTTACAGAAAATATATTTGAAACAAGAACGGAAGCCAGAATATAATAATATAGTATAAGATATAGGAGCCCGATCTGAAAATTCGGGTACATTCGGATATAATAGCATTGCATTGGACAGTGATTCGTGCCAAATTTTGTTAAAATATCTTATCAAATAAAAAAGYTTTCCATACAAGAATTCGATTTTGATCTTTTAGTTCGTATAAGCAGACATACGAACAATGCTAAATAAACTCAACTCATAACATTGATAATTTGCAAGTATTGAAAATCTCGATYAAGAAACTTCTCGACTTTATTTCTTTACCCATTCCTATGGACGTAATCACTGGCGAGTGTCAATTCCGCAAGGTGATCGTAGCAGCCACCGTTCGCTTCATCCTGGCTGGGAGAATCGCGGAACTCCACCCTAATTTCMCTGCCGAAGCGGCTGTTTTAGCTAACGAGCTCGACACCTTACACCATGCCGATCKCTGTGATCTCCGAAAAGGTATCTCAATTTGGAGGTTCGGCAAATGATAAACCAACACAAGTGGACGAAGTGAATAGATTAGTCTTGAAACCTCTCCACCGGTATGAGTGATATGTAAGAGATATGATGACCGAGTTGAAAYTCAATTCAATGACCGTGCCTCTTCGGACCCGAAGAAGTGCACGAGCTGTTTTAGCCGGCAATTTACACTGCACCCTTCAGTAGACAAAAACAAGCGATGTGTTAACCGACGGTTGTTCAAAATGCCAAAGTACTGTCCATCTTTTACTTTCACCGATGAGGAAGTTCAGAGTGTCATCAMTAAGGCGAAATCGTCCACATCCATTAGCACTGATGGAATCAACATGCTAATTCTAAAGCATATAGACTTGACGGGAGTAAGTAAATATTTGATGCGTGAAAAGTCGGAAGAGTGGTCCCACTACCAGAGGTAGTTTCCATAACCTCGTACGCTGATGATTGCACGATATTGACGTGAGGCAATGGAATCGACGACATGTGTTCAAAGGTAAACAGCTATCTTGGAGCATAATGAACTACTTTCCCCCGGCTGTGTAAGCTGAGGGGTGGTGTATAACGTTATGACGGCAATCAAAACCTCGAAATTTAGATTCCCGACAGTCAAAAAACCGACAAACCCAAGCACTAAAAAATTACAATACCGACAAATCAAGAAAAGGGGATACACTTAAAATATCGAAATTCAAAATGCCGACACATCAAAATACCGACAAAATTTAAATATGCAGCTAAATTAAAATAACGACAAATCAGAACACCGACATGGGAAAAATATTTTATTTTGAATGCCCTTATTTCTATCGAAGTACAGAAAGAGAATTCCACTGACTAAGGGTTATGATCCTGAGCGGGTTATGTTGTCCAGATGGAAGAGAACACTCCAGCTTTGAAGGTTTTCGATTCAGTACCCATCGGTGGAAGAAGAGTAGAGRCCAGGTGGAGAAGAACCTSGCTGCACTTGGTATCTCGAATTGGCTCCATATAGCGAAAGCAAGAAACGACTAGTCCGCCTTTGTTAACTTGGCTATAACCGCGTAAGCGATKTCTACGCCAATAAAGAAGAAAGAAGCACAATTCCGTATGTACGAAGCTTTTATAGTTATAGTTACATATTTCAAGTGACAAATTTATTCCATAAAAAACGTATTTACATTTACATAGTTTTATATAAGTATATATAGTATGTAATAATTCAGTATTACAAAAATTCAATTTGTAAATATATGGACATTTAAAATTAATTATACACGTAAGGTAAGTTATGCATATGGAAACTTAATTTTTTATGTTTTCTTCATTCAATAYTATTATAGGGTACATATTTCTCAACGATTATAACAACAACTCAAATGTTTTTTAAGTATATTCGGATTAGTGGCTAAACTCGGTTTGCCTAAAATAGTTTATATTTTTTTTTCAATTCTTGTTTCTTCCAAACGGGTAGCTCATCGAATTCCCAGAAAGACATGTTGAAAAGCGAGACGAAGTCATCATGTGTTAAATGAACCTAAAATAAAGGCAAAATATTATATTYTTGAGAGAAATGTATTCAGCAAGCTTTTTTATTTAAAAATTTTAAATATATTGAAGGATATTTCGCAAAATATATTGTTCTTAGCTTATAAGTTACTTCCCTCTACGTGATGAMGTAAATATAAAGACTAAATAAGGTTAATGAGCCTAACACTATTCCCAACTACATCCACAATACAAAATGCCGACAACCCTGTGTTTTTAGGCATTACACTCGACGGCCTGAGCTCATTTCCCTCCGCATACTCCACGGTAGAGCTGCAACAAAATCCACAACTTGTAAGACGGCAGCACTGAGGACAAGACCAATAAACGTTGTTGGCAACATACCCGGCAATCGGCTGGTCGGTCATAAACTAACTCAAGATCGCTGACAAGATCGAACAATTCACTAACTAGATTACGAACGTAACTAATTGCAGACATGCAGTGCCCGCCATTTACATGTATGGCGTACTTGGAGTTACCTACGTTGCCTCTTATATTTTGGGATTTGGCAACACTAGTGTTGCAAATTGGAATCTCACAATTTTATTGTATAGATTAATATTTTTGAGAGTATGCATACTCAGCATGCTCAGCGTACGAGTGCTATTTGYGTTGTTTACAGTAACTKAAAWTAWTCTTCTCGAGCAAAAAATGGAATTAAATMGCGAACATTTTCGGGCGMTCATTTTTTACACCTTTCGACGTGGATTAACTCGTCAAGAGTGTATAGATGAGCTTCATTAAATTTTCGCGATGAAGGTCTATCATGTTGTTCCGTAAAGTATTGATGCTGTGTGTAAACTGATTTTGCAAAATCGTCAAGTGACCTATCGTGAGAGAAAAATATGACAACGGTGCTTCAAAAAATGCCTATGATCCCACACAATTCATCGATCGCTCAAAAAAAAAAAAAGAGTCGTGTCGTTTATTGGAGAAATGTTGAAAAAAATATGCTTCGTGACAGGTGATGGATCGTGGATTTAGGCGTATGAGCCAGAGAGTAAACAGCAGGTAAYTGTATAGGTGTCCGTTCGTAAAAAATAAACTAAGAGGTCAACGATTTTCGACATCCRTAAACAAAAAATATTAAAGGCAACCTAYGTAAATTACCACTCACTGCAGACGAAGAGCTCGAGTTCCTCCGACAATTTAAGGTAACCATTCCACAACGCAATTAATCCCACTCAAACTGCTCTCAAAATGGACTAACCATGTTGAAACAGAATGTTTTCTATGCTTATTGTTTTATAACTTCGATGACAAGGTTGGTTTTCGATTTGAGCTTTACTCAGAGGGCATCAGGAGAAACATGAYTATTATTGGCATTCACGATCATCAACTTTGGTATACAGTTTAATAACTCTTACATATGTCCATATGTAAATAATCATTACATTACAAGAAACCGTTATTTCTTGCTATTAATATTTACCTCACGTTTAAGTGGATTCACCTCTGGCGGCAATAGATCGGTTTCCTGCTGTAACGTGACTATTGGATATTTATGATGGAGGTCGAAATCTTTCAGATGATTTTTCAACACAGATGGTATGATTCCATTGCCGTTTATACCATTCGTAATTGTATCATTGGTACTTGGCAAATTTCCTTGTTTCATAAAAGCCTGCCGCTTGAGTTCATAGCTCACATAGTTCTACAAAGAGTGCAATATTAAGTCGCCGTTAAAAACTTGCCAACCAAAGGTTAAATAAAAACTTTACTTACATTCCAAAGATTATGATCCCAATTCTCGAACAGACCTTTAAAAGTATTAGGTTCGTCATCTTGTCGAATTACAGCCACCGCTGTCGTGGGACGACGTGCTATGGGCACCGATTCAAGGTAGAGCTGAGCTATCTTCATATACTTGTCCTTCTCATATGTAGACGCCTGTCTSCCTAGCCAAATATACGAAACCAGACCTGTGTCAAGCACATATATCGACTCGGGTGAGAGATCACATTGTTCGTAGCCAATGACTTCTCTCATGAAGAATTTACCACGCTGCAACCAAGCCAAAAAGAGTTGTGGCTGCAGACGCAACTTTGTAACATTAATATTATTGTTGTTGTACACAAAAGAACCATTCAATGGCGATGTGCTACTACCGTTACTACTACCCGAACTAATGCTACCATTGATCAGCGGCTGTGACATATATGTGGTAAGTGAACGCCAAAATTCTTTCGGCTCCTTGCCTTCCACCACCAAGGAACATTCACCCAGGAGACTACCGATATTCTTAGCCATTTCACGTGCATCACCCGTTGAGCTCTGACCGCACCATACCCAAATGTGGCTTGTCTTCACCACATAACACTCTTTACCGCTCATCGTGTTCAAAGGGTATACTTCGGTAGCTTTTGCATTGTAACTAGTATCGCCGTAGACACGCAACACAAAATAGTCCCTATTCATTAACGMCAACTCGTTGCTAATATAGTTAATGTTGTTGCTGTGATGCGACAACGAGGTTCTCTCACTCTGTAGTATAATTAGCTTGCCATCGAAAATCTGCAGAAAATGCGGAGTCTCATCATACTCACACATTTGTACAAACATCGCTTTCTTATGGAGTTTCTCGAAAGTGCTCAAAGCGAAACGTTCACAGTTAGCGATGTCATCAGCATTGGCTTCTGAGCCATTCCATTGATAGATAATAGTGCTGACGCCCACATTTTGTGCATCAGCGAGACTTGCTGTCGGTAGCTGTATGATGAAAAATACCGTAATTCGAGTTCGAGTTGTGCGACTGCAGT